CCACCCAGAATCCAGAGAGTGTGGCCAACATCCAGAGTCTGGGTGAGGCCATTACCCAGATAGTCCTGAAGAACAGAGGATTCTTTTCAAGACTTGAGAGCTAATGTAATCTGTTCTGCTGGGTTTTGGACTTGCTTAGTACCCATTATCCCTTCTTTTCTCCAATTTCTTCCATTTGTAGTGGAAATGTCTACCTTGTGCCTGTTCTACCATTGTACTTTAGAAGCAGATAATTTGTATTCTAGATTTCACAGGTTCACAGATGAAGAAGAAATTTGTCTCAAGATGGAATACACCTAATGTCTCACACATATTTGATCTAGATGATTCAGGACATGAGATTTTGGATTTGGAGTTGACTTAAGACTTTTGGGATGATGTGACGGGGTGAATGTGTTTTGTATGTGGGAAGGACATATGTTTTTAGGGACCAAAGGGTAGAATGTTATGGATTGAACGGTGTCCCCCAAAAATATGTGTTGTAAATCCTAACCCCTATACCTGTGGTTGGAACCCTGGTGGCACAGTGGTTAAGAGCTTGGCTGCTAACCAAAAGGTCGGCAGTTCAAATTCAGCAGAGGCTCCTTGGAAACCCTATGGGGCAGTTCTACTCTGTTCTACGGGGTTGCTATGAAATTGGAATCGACACACCAGCAACAGGTTTGGTATACCTTTGGTTATGATCCCATTTGGGAAAGGATTTTTTTGTTATGTTAATGAGGCAGTATTACTGTAGGGTGTGTCTTAAATTATTATCTTTTAAGATATAAAAGAGCAGATTAAGCAAGCAAGCAAGCAGAAACAGAGGGGAAAGTACGCAATATATGATTGCCAAGGAACCTAGGAACAGAAGCTAAAAAGAGACAAGGACCCTCCCCCAGAGCTGACAGAGAGAAAGCCTTCCCTTCTAGAGTTGGTGTTCTGAATCTGGACTTTAGCCTCCTAAATTGTGAGAGAATAAATTTCTATTTGTTAAAGCCACCTACTTGTGGTATTTCTGTTATAGCAGCATTCGATAACTAAAACAACAATTAAGTATAAGTCTTTATGATAGATGCTGCTGTGAAATTACGATAAATTTAAAGGTGATGCTTGTTTTGCAAAAGTTTACAATCTGACTATGGGAACAATCAAGAGTGATATTCAAAACTGTATGGCATCTAAGATATAACTATTGGTCTCTTCTTGTCTGGGGCAAAAGAGAGTGAAGGAAACCAAAGACTTAAGGAAGCAATTAGTCCATAGGACTAATGGCCCACACAAACCACAGCCTCGTACAGACTGAGACCAGAAGAACTAGATAGTGCCCAGCTACCACTAACGACTGCTCTGACCAGGGACACAATAAAAGGTCCTGGTTAGAATGAGATAAAAACGTAGAACAAAACTCATATTCATAAAAAAGACCAGACTTCCTGGGTGGATAGAGGCTGGCAGAACCCCCAAGACTATCACTCTAAGATACTCTTTTAACCTGAAACAGAAGCCACTCCTAGAGGTCACCTTCCAGCCAAATAATAGATTGGCCTGTAAAATAAACAATAACACCTATGAGGAATGTGCTCCTTAGAACAATCAACTATACGAGACCAAGCAGGCAACATTTGCCCAAAAGCAAAGGTGAGAAGGCAAGGAAGGGCAGGGAAACTGGAGGGATGTAAAGAGAGAAGCCAGGGTGGAAATGGGGAAAGTGCTGACACCTTGCAGCAGTAGCAACCAATGTCACAGAACAGTGAATAAATTGTTGAATGGGAAACTAATTTGCTGTGTAAACTTTCACCTAAAACATAATGTTTAAAAAAAAAAAAAAAAAAACCAGTATGGCAGAGGCACTGACAAATCACAATAGCTGCAGGCTGTGAACAACTGGCAGAACTGTGCAAGGGTTGCAGCTCTCAACTCTGGGAAGAAATACAACAACAGCAACAGCACTAGGAAACAGGATTAAAAGTACCGTAAGTAAGGTTTCATCTAAATGGCTCCTGAGAGTCAATCTGAAATTTACGATATAATGGAAACTCAGTCATGTTTGAGAGATACATAGAAAAAAAGATACACGTCTATCCTACAATAGCTTCTGGGTTACAGGAAGGAAACAAAAAAGTAGGCAGGTTTAAAGTACAATGACAAAGTTAATGTATTTGAGTGCTATGGGAGCACACAGGAGGGGCACTAATCTCCAACTCTGAGGGAGTACAGAGCTTCCTGGAGGAGGTAACAACTGAGCTCAGCTCGCCAAGCAGAGGAAAAGACCAAAGAAGAGGGTACCATGTGCAGACAAAGAGCGAGGCATAGGGGTCAAAGCCTCATTCAAATTAAAGTCCTTTTGTTTCAAAGGCAAAATCATACAAGCCATCCAAATTGTAGAAGACATGAACTGAGACAACCTTGTAAAAGTTTGTATGTTGTGAATACACCACGAACTGTGAAAGTTTGTGTTCCAGGCACCAGTATCAGTTTGAGAAGCATAAGGAAGCAAGAGTCAGGTAGGATGGAAACTTATTTTTTGACCCTGAATCTCATCCCAACCCAGGGGTCGGGACTGTCCTCTGGATTCTAAAAGCGGGGCTGCACTAATATGCCAGTCTTGTTTTAGAATAAATCACATGTAAAGACGTTTTTAGCAACTCACCACTAGGTAATCAATGCTGAGGATGTAATCTGGGGCTGGGACAGGGGCCAGCAGTCACAGAATCGGGCTGAGCATACTGAAAAGACACCGCACAGATGTGCAGAGGGGTGGCAGTGGGGCCTTTCTGGGGACGACTCCACACCCCTCTCCGCCCCAAGCTAATAGAACCAGGAAGGCAGACCCAGCCTAGTCAAAGGGCCTCAGGAGAAGGACATATGAAAAAGTCTCTTCTTCAGCTGAATTTCTGTGCCACTGGATTGCCTTGAATGCTAGATGAGATCCATGGCTTTCAAGCTTTGCTTTAGCCAGGAAATCTTTGCAAGCCTCACCAGGAAATGCAATATGTAAAACAGATGCAAGTGGAGCTGTTTTGGTTCTGCAGCAGCTAGGGCTCCCCAGAGCACTAATTTGGAAACTGCTCAATAAGCCCATCTCTCTAATCCCTTCAGAGACTGCCTGCTGGCTCTGCAGGTGGGACAGGCTTTTGCCATGAAGGCCAGAACCATGGCTGCCTCTCTGAACATCAAGGCCAAACCCACACATCAGGCCTCCTTCTTTCATAAATTTAGTAAAAAATTTGGAGGCATACTTAAAATGCAAATTCAGATCCCATCTTATGTTGCATCATATATAAACCCTCTCTTTACTGTACCTTTAGGGGATGGCAGCAAAGCCTTATTAAGATATATAAAATTTCCCGAATTATTTTTTGTCAGATCAGCTAATGCTGCCCTTCAGGTACTAGGGGATAAGTCATAATAACAACTGAAATATGGTTAATGGTTTAGGCTAAATGACTAGTAGGAGAAAACAAAATCGTTTATGGTGTTTTAACTACCAAACCAACCATAAAATCCCCAAGGAAACAAAACCCATTATAAAGCAACATAATCCTATCACCTCATAGCAGTCTTGCATGGGCTATTCTTAACTATTTGCTTGAAAAGTACTGCAATGACAATACACCAAATTATTATTCCTATTAAGTGTTAGTTGGATAAGCCTTAGCAGAGAGAAGAAATCAACTCTTGTATGCTAGTCACTGATTACCGCTGCTATGTAACTCTATGACCTGGATTGTTCTGTACCTTAGTTTCTGGATTGTTAAAACGGGAACAATAACCCCTGCTCCTACTTACTTTCCATGCAAGCAGAGAGTGAAAGGATATGTGAAATTATTAAGCTGCAGGAAAGGTGGTTTAAGAAGATAAAGTATTATCAGCTACAGTAAGACACACTAACGTCCAGGAGGAAGGACAGGTATTTGTGCTGCTGCCGCTCACACACAAAGCATGAATTCTGTCAAGTCAGCGACGGTAACTCTGTGAAAACAGACAGTCTGTATCCCAAAATGTGCCACTGGCAACAATGGCCCTCCCACACGCACAGCCTGCTGCTTCTTCTGCTTGCAATTTCTTCTCTATAAGCTCCTTGGCACAGACTTCCTCCGTTTCAACATTCACCCTCTTCCTTTGTAGTATCTGTGTATAAAGTCCTAAAGCTATTCCTCTTCCTCCTTGACACTGCTGTAAACGGAAATTCCTATAATGCAAATATGCCCATCCTGCTTCTCTGCTTGAGCTCAGCTACCCCTCATTCAATCTACAGTACAAAGGCCAAATATCTTAGCTGATATCCAAGGTCCTGCACGGTCTGACTCTTCCTAACACTCTGCCCTTATCTCCCACCACCATGAGGTGGGAGATCAAATCAGACCCCACAGTTCAGCCATGCTCAGCTATTTGTCATACCACAACCTGTGGTAGCATTCAGGCTCTGGGGCCTTGGTTCATGTCAGAAATGCCCCTCTTAAATCCTTGTCCTCCCATGTCCCTGACCTCCCCCCTTCCTGACTGCTTCTCCTTCTGTGTAGCCACTGTATTCTAGCACATACTTCTAGGGCTGCATTTACCAATCACTGGTATGAGGGGCAGCAATCTACTTTAGATAGGAGAGTCAGGAAAGATCTCTCTGAGGAGATAACATTTTAGATGAATCTGAAACAATGGTGAACCAGTAACGTAAAGCATGTTGTAAGGACCATTCTAGGCAGAAGGAACAACATAAGCAAAGGCCTGAAGGCGGGAAAGAACTGTTAGTTCAAGACATTAAAGATGGCCAGTGTGGCTAGAGAGTAATGAGAGTAATAGATTTCATGAAATAGGAGAGAGTGTAATTATAGAGGGTGCTGCTGGCCACAGTAAGGAGTCTGAATTTTACTCTAATTTCAACAGGAAGCCATTAGAAGGTTATAAGCAGTAGTTAAAATGACCTAATTTATGCTTTGGCAAAGAGCCACATAACAACTCAGTCAAGAAGGCCAAAATGACTGCCAAGCTATGGTCAGCACCCTCAACCAAACGCATACCTCCACCTGCCAAGCCAGTGTAGAAGCCGAGAGGGCGGATGTTCGGCCAGCTCCAAGAACAGCGATTGTTTCCCCATCATCATCCACCACTTTGAAGTCCAGATCCTCGTTGTATTTTCTGCGCTTCACTTGCCGTCCTGAGCGTCGTTTCTGCAGGGGAAACACACCCCATCATTGAGGAGCTCTGTGAGTCAAAGGCAAAGCTTGTTCAAGAATATTCTCATCTCCACTTACTGACATGCAAAGGACAGCTTTCTCATTTTACAGAAGAAAACTTCCTTAAACACAACTCTTTTAAGAGCTACACTCATTCGAAATGGGATCTAGCCGAGGGAGGGAATAAAAGTCCACTCTCCAAACTGCTAGGATTCACCGAGAAGGTGCAGTTGCAGCATCCAGGGAGGCGTGTTTTATTCATCAATGGCAGTGACTTTTTTCCACCTTTTTTGGAATAAGTTTCTATTCAGTAAAACGCTATCATCTTTCAGATTCCTTCTAGTTCTAGCTGGAAGCTCAGATTTTGATAATACGACAGTCTTTTGTTGTGTTTTATTTTTCACTTTTGCTTGAATTCACCATACCTACCATTACTCCTAAAATGTAGTTTAAAAACCCAATTCCAATTTTATTGGGACTTACTTGGAGACTCTCGTAACACCCCTTAAAACACAAGGAGACATCCTAAGTGTGACAAACAAGGTTCATGAGTCATCATCTAAGGACTCATCTATAATTAAGTAGCTTCTGACCTTTTAGAGAGCGAACGTTCAACCACGAAGAAGCCCAGCGGCTTTCCTCAAACAGAGAACCACCCGGTTTGTCCCTAAGTACTCATCACATCCAAGCACAGAAAGACTTCAGAGAATCATTCACCAGCTAGCTCACTTTCAAATGCTTAAACCTTAAAAAGAAATACAAAAGCAAAAGCCTACTTTCCTTTTCTTCTAAAGAAACCTCCGGGGCTTCCTCTCTCTGTTCCCTGTTTCTTCACTGTCACTTCTATGACATTTAACTTCAAGTGAGGAAATGCACATAAAAACCTCTCCCCCAACGCCCTCCTCATCATACAGTTTACACAGGTCACCATCCTGCAAACAGTGCAATGCCAACCCCCATCAACTGAGGTGCTTGCTCCTCTGTCAAACTTGATACCTAAGAGCCACGAGACCCAGTTTATAGGCAGTGAGGGGGTCTCTGCCCTGACATCCCAGATACTACTACTTATTACCACTTACGACATTAGGAGTTGACACCTTCCTATAGTGAAGATCATCTAGAAATCTATGAGGGTATAGATGATCTTTGAAGATATAGTAAGTCAGTTTAATTTTAAAAAGTCACCTTGAAGCAACAAGGCCCAGATAAGTTGCTAAGGATATTAGAAGAAACAGCCCTTCCAAATATTAGAATTCATGTCCAGGAAAGTTCCTTCAAATCAGGGAGAAAATTCCTACCAACGTCATGGGTACACCTTCGCATATTTTTAGGAATCAGATTTAAGTGGGCAATTCTTTGTTTCCAGGTCTGGCCAAACCTTCCTATTCTGGCATAATGAATACATCCCTGGCATTCCCAGCATCTGGGATTATGAACATGTCCTTGTACAGACGGGCCCAGCACTCTGAGACCTAAATACATTACCTACATGGCAAAACAGACCTTCTGAACCTTATCTGCCTGGCTCTCAACTCCATTTCCCTCATTAGCTCCCTCTGCAGTCTACTATGCTACTTTCCAAAAAGAAAGCAAACACTCTAAAAAACTGGGCGATTATTAGTACAGGATAAGTATGCTAGGGAAAAAAAGCCTGTGGTCTACTTGCTCACCCACCGAAATGGTAAAAGCCCAGCCCAGGTCTGTGCAGAAGGACAGGAGGCTAGAGACAGGCACAGAGTAGCAACAGGATCAGTGTCAGCCAGATCCCAGTAAGCAGCCGTAACCTTCACCAGGGCTCCCGGGCACAGCTGTACCTGGCTGTCTGCAGACTCAGTGGACTCCTCAGGACTCCGCAGGGATGAGTTCGGCAGGCCCTGATCCAGCTCTAAACTCTCCACTGTGGTTTCACTTTTCCTTTTTCCTTTCTTCTTTTTCTCCACTGGGGTTGGTCCTTGCTCCTTGCTATGAGAAGAAATTCAGAATTAAACCTCTTGGGCAGTTTTTAAAACTAAGATTTCTCATGTGATCAAAGTCATGAAATCACACACTCTGGAATTCTAGGACTAGGGCAGGCTTTAATGGAGAACCCACAAGAGTTTCTTCCCAGAAATATAGGAAGAAATATCCATACGAATTGATTCAGAATCCACTCCATTATATCTTTTATCATGACTACTATTGGCTACGATTAACAGAATTAGAAATAAAATAATATGAACATCTGCAAAAACATAACTTTTAGTTTATACAATAAATCTCTACTCTAGGAAGTTTAATGGCATCACAGATATTAAGAATTATCAAACTACAATCTCCGTTTAAGTTACATAGGAAGAAATATCTCCCCAATCTATCATCATCCTTTATTGAGTAAAGTCTGTGTGTAAGAGCTGGAATGAGCACTAGGAACTCAAACATGGCAGAAATTGTGCCTGCCCTTGAGGAGCTAACAATCATGAAGATGCTACGGACCACCTACAGCCACAGCCCAAGGCAGTAATATGAATGCTTCCTGAGAGGTAGGGATGGGCAAAGTCCATCCACCCTGCAAGGCCCTGCTAATATGCAACATCTCTAAAAAGCCTTCCTCGACTCTTATAGCTGGTAAAATCTCTCTTTTCTACTCTCTCAAGTCACTCAACTATGCTTTGCTTTAGGCACCCCAACTTTGGCCTTTTACCAAACTTAGTCATTAACAATGACACCAGTGCCTGGATTCTCCATAGTTGCTTGGTAAACACCTGTTAAATGGGTGAATATTTTATACTTTTCTGCTCTCTCCTACCAGACTCTAAGTTCCTAGAGGGCAGTATGTACTTGATTCAATTTCGTATTCCTCAGAGTGAGTAGTCTTATTCCTTCTCCGTAGTAAGTATTCAATAAATATTTAATGAGTAGATGAATATATTAATGGATGGATAAGATTACTTCTGGCTGAGGAGATTTGGAAATGGCATCTCAACAAGAATTTACATGCAATTTTGACAGGCGGTGGAGAGGAATAACAACAACAACAGCTAACATGTATATAATGCTTAGTACATGCAGGCACAGTTCTAAGTCCTTTACATAGATTATCTCCTTTAATCCTCACAATAGCCCTATGAGACAGTATTATTATTCTCATTTTATACCTGAGAAATCTTAGGCACAGTGAGATTAACTTAGGTCTCCAGGGGAACATGGCTAGTAAATGGTGGAGACAGGATTTGAATCTAGGCAGTCTATGCTCTTAACCACCACCACATTTTTGAGGAATAGAGCAGTGTTAAAGACACATTTGATAAAAGATAATGTGTGTGGTTGGATGATAGGGTGAGTAAACAGAAGCACTGAGTGATGGAGCTAGAAAGAAAAATCAAGGGTACACCAAGCTAGAGAGTTTAGAATTCATTCTGTGTGGGAAGGGCCATTAGGCAAGTCCCAGGCAAGAGAGAATGAAGACCTAAGCTAGATACAATCAATGAAAACTCAAAAGTGAAAATGATTTCAAAGACCTCGCCTTGAACCAGTGAGTCTTGGAAAGTGAAAGAATGTGGAGAAAGAGTAAAGAGCCAAAATAACTGGTATTTCGTATCAGGTGAATTATTGGAAGGCGTAGGGAAGAGACAGATATTGGATGGCCTTGTTCACAGAGGGGAGATCCAGCATGATCATGTGGCAGGTATTCCAAACAGGGCTGAGAGCTGAATCAGTCTGCCTCTCTCTTGAATACCCTTCACCATTCATGGATCCCTAATCTGGTCAGCACAAACTAAGCCCACCCATGATGCCCCAGGCTGAAGACAGCTTTCCTACTATCAGGAAAGTTTATGATGAAAACTATTTTGGTCCAGCCTGTGGAAATGAAAACTCAAGAGGTCCTGCCATTTCAGAGGATAACAGATTTTAAGAAGATACTCATAATCTCAAGCAGGGGAGAAAAAAAAGTCATTCTGCTTCTTATTGGTTCAAGAGAAGAGATACAAGTAAAACCATTTTAAAAGATGCTAAATTTTCACAGGAATATTTATCTCGTTATGTGGCTTTTCATTATAAAAACTATATACCAATTTATACTCTACAAAGTACTTACATTCTGTATCTCACTTAACTGTGACAGCCACAATCCCATGAGAGATCCAGGAAAGATAGCTCCCGTATTCCAGGTGACAAAACTGAGGTTTAAAAGCAGGAAAGGTCCCAAAGTCAGCAACAGACCTGAGGCTCACAATCAGGTCTCATCTGATTCACAATCCCTTTCTTTTTACATCATATAATGTTTCTTGACCTTTTTTTAAAAAAAAAAAAAAAAAAAACTCCAGTTTCCCTTTTGAAAATGTAAAAACCTAAAACCTCCTTTAATGTTATCTGAATTTCCAATGACTTTTGAAGAGTCAGCAAGAAAAACATTCCAATGACCAAATATAGAAAAAACTCACAAGTCGATAGTTGTTAGTTTTTTTATGGATCTCTTAATAAACAAAGGTTTGTGTTTAATTTTTTGACATAGATTTAAAGCTGATGATACACAAAAACGTCATCAAAATAATTGCATGCTCAGAGCCCACTCAATCTTCCATAAAATCATAAGCCTTTCTTCCTAACATCTGAAATCAAATTCATCTATCACTAAATGTGGCTTCACTATATTGGAAAACCTTGTCTATGTATTTTAATCTTCATTTTAAACCATCACGTATATATGTTAGGAACATGCACTTCATTGTGAAACAGTCAAAACTAAACCAAACACGAACCATAAATAGGGAATGGATACTCATCAAAATATGAAAGCCTACTGCAAGACTTGTGTACATTTGCCCTCCATGTTTTGAGAAACACATTAAATTATTAAAGTAAGGAGGAGCCACTGTGAGGCACTTCCAAAGTCAAGCCTGGGGCACACTAGATTTTCTTAGCCAGAAGTTGGGGTGGGGTGGGGTAGGAGAAACATCTTCTCAAACATATGTCATGGGGAAGAGCCAAGATGGCAGCTTAGTCAGAGGCACCATACTGTTCCTCTAAAGCAAAGATCCAGAAAACCAAATGAAACAGATGCAGATAACAACCCTGGAACCCTGAACATCAAAAACGAAGGATAAAGAATTGAATCGAACATCGACTGGAAGAAAAAACTGAACCAAAGCAGCAAATGAGGAAAAAGATGGAGTGGAGGGGCTCTGCCAGCCATCCTGGCTCAACATAGCCATCTTGAGACAAAGCCAGTAGCGACCCCGGGTGAGGACCACAGGAAGACAACTTCACAGCATCCCATAAAAGACAGAGAAACTATACAGACACACCTGGAGAGAAACAAAATGAGTGGATCAAAATCTGGATCTAAGGAAGGAAAACAGAGAAAGGAGGGTAAAAATTCCAGAGATCCTGCCATCCACAGAGTAGGGAGGGAGCCAGAATCCAGAGTCAGGAATACTAATGAGCGGTGGTACCTGACCTCTGGGGTGAGTGGTGTGCACGAGGCAGTGGAATCACAGAGTATTGGCAGGAGGTACCCCACCCAACTGGACTCCGGACAGCTCCCAACCTCGCACTTGATCAGGGGAAGGTCCCGACTGCTGGCTGCAGTGGACAGAAAGTGCCAGGGCACCCACATCTGCTACATGAAGGAGCACACTCCCCCTCCTCCACCCTCCTGACCTGAAGCAGTGGAAAGTCCCACACCCCAACCACCCTGCCCAATCAGAGAACGTAATACGAGCCTCCCTTCCAGCCTCATCCAGCCCCATATGACAACCCCCCAGCCCTCCTGACGAGCAGCAGTAAGCGTGCTCCTGTGCGCTCATCTGCCTGCCACTTAACCACCCCCCAAACCAGAGACTGGCAGTGACCCCACACATGCCCACCCACCACCCAGACCCCCCATACCCCCCTCAACTCGGAGGAGTAGCGACCGCATGCACACTCTCTCACCACCCACCTCCCCTGAATCGGTGGGCGGCAGCAACCATGAGACTACGCACATGCCCACCTGCCACTGACACCTCGCACCCCTGACACAGTGAGCTGTGGCAACTGTGCAACCACATGTGTGCCCGCCCGGCATCCACCCCCAACCCAGTAAGTGGCAGCGACTGCACACCCATCCACCTGCCACCACCCTCCCCCTGATGAGCAGATGTGACTGTGCCCCCTCCTCGCCCACTACACCCACCACACCTGCCACCTCAACCACTCGGTGAGTGCCACTGACCACTCCTGCACCACTGGATCGATGACAGATGTCAGCCAACACCCACCCAGCCCGCCCTCAGATGCCCTGCATGACCAGCAGAGACCTGCACTTGTACACTCCCAGCCACTACCCTGTCCACCTGGAGACAGGTGGTAAGCACACCAGTGCTGCCAAACTAGCAACCAGAGTAGCACACATACCCCATCTGCCTGGATATATCAAAGCAAAAGAAAATATCATGAATGAGCGAATAAACATACAATCAATAAATAAATATAACAACACCTTACTGCCTCAAAGGCAACAGACAATATCAAATCACATAAAGAAACAAGACAAGATGGTTCAAGCAAGTGACCAAAATAAAGGGCCATAAAGCCTTCCTGAGGAAGAAATGGTAGTGGAACTACTTGATAAGGAATTCAAAAGATTTTTATTTAGGATCCTCCAAGACCAAGAAAGAGATCAAGAAAAACATAAACAAAACTCTAAAGAATTCAGGAAAAGAATACAAGAACAAAATGACAAAATAGATAAGTAGAAATCATACAAAAAACAGCAACTAGAAATCCAGACAATAAAATTTCAGAAACAACGTAATTCAATGGAAGGACACAGGAGCAGAATTGAATCAACAGAAAACAGAATCAGCAAAATAGAAGACAAATCTTTGATACTAATTTGTTTGAGGAACATTCAGAAAAAAAAATGAAGAAAAATTAAGGAAGCGTAAGAGTTTTGTAGGACATTATCAAGAGGAATAACTTACGCATGATAGGAATTCCAG